TAAAGAAACTAATACATGTATAGAATAATATTATTTTAAATCTTACTGTAACCATGAGATTCAAGTTGGTAAATATTGAGATCCAAAGAATTCCGTTGAGTTTTCTAATTCATAACGAATCTGCTAACCTTCAATATATATAAATTGTCATAACAGTTATCAAACCGATGGGATAAACAGCTACAATATTCGATATCAGGTTAGAACAACTGACCCAAATATATGTGACAAAAAGACTAAGGACAATCACATCCAATTTTTCTTGTCTAAGTCTTGTTTACGTGCGTCCAGAGATTCGCAAAGCTCGATTTTTGAAGTCTTCATAGGCAGTGAAAGCATGAACACTATCCAGATTAGAGACACGTAAATTCATTTTAAATATGGTGGAATGGCAGTAGTACATTGTAATGTTTCATTTCTAGGGTTATAAGTTGAAAACAAATTGAAGGAACCTTCAGAAACGTAATTATATGTAAAAGAATGTGTCCCATATCTGCAAAAAATATTTATATCCAAATATTATTATCAAGAAAATTCCGTGGTAGATCCGTTTATCTGGAGGAGATTATTTCCTCCTGCTGGTCTTACTCAGCAACTGTACTACATTACCTAAGCTTTCATTTATCCAAAGTGAGGACTAAAAGTGGATAGAAAGTCATGTTACCAGAATTGCATATTATATAATATCGGACTGGTTCAGACAAAGATATGTAATAAGTAGCCTTGACCAGATAAATAATCCATTCACTAATGGTATATTCTCTCATACATTCACTTATCGCCTCCCACGTGTCCTTGTGACAGAAGTCGACCTATCTAACCTTGGAGGGATACGTTGTCTGTTTGAACAGTCTGATTATCACCTGGACTCCTTTGCATTCATATATGTGCAAGTAGATTTGGAGGTAAATCAAAGAGTCTGGACTTATGTTCCATGCTAGTCACTAATTTTCTGCAATTTTGATATAAAACTCTACTACAGATAAAGATGTCATTAGTGAGCTATCTAAGTTTGGCCGACATATTGAACTGTGATATCTCTCTAGTTGGTCACTTAGCAGTAGACATTATCAGTTATATAATACTGATTATATTCTACTAATGGAGCCGTTGTTCTCTTCTCATTACTTAATCATTAAAACAAATCACAGCATTGTCTATTTGTTCAGACCTGATGCTTATTGTGATCAGATTATAGATGAAATCCAATCAGCAATAAGGATGAGACAACCTCATGACGTATACTACTATTGTTACTAGTGTGAGAAGTACAAATGTAGAGTAAAAGCTCAGATTGTTTTGTAATTACAGGATAAAAATTTATGTACTGCAGTATAAAATTGTTAGCCATATCAGAAATATGAATAGAATTATTGAATATGCATATATAAAACAACCTGACAACACCATAGCTCCATAATCATTCATGTTTTGGATAAATTTGGCGAAAAGATATAGGGATTACACAGACCGGTTGTTCGGTTCTGTGATATTATCTACTCATTTAACGATGTTATGTAATTACTTTTGGGTTTCATGAACAGTTGGCTACACAATTCGCATTTATATCTATTATCACATTAATTTTTCCATGTTTTGGAGGAGGGGTCTTAAGTGTACGCAATCATTTGTCTCATGTTATCATCTGTTATGAATGGGATGCTTGATTGAGATGTTTCTGATTTATGTTCTTTTAAGCAAGAATTACGTCACCTAATTGTACATACACACAAATTAACGTTCAACTTATATTTAACAGTGTGCTGCATAGTAAAACGTTAATGAATATCGACATTTATGTGGTCGATTATAATTCAATCTTTACGTAATATTCGAACTAGCTAATCTGTTCACAACGTAATCTCATTAATCGGTTTAAAGAAAGATTAACTACAAGTTGGTTTAAAAAGCTTGATTTGTTTGATATGGACTACTATATACAGTATACTCAAAAACATATAGTTTTATGTTTGCATTTTTGACATTGTACCTTTACATTAGAGTCACGAAACTTACCACATATCGTTGTTGCACATAGGTTTTTGAAACTTTTGTGCAATTTATACGGCATTCACTGCGTAGATGTCAACTCATCTATGATGCGAGCATATGACCTTGTATATGGATTAAAATTGCTATAAGTACATCAAAGCACTTATATATAACTTTGTTTTAACAATATAGAGATTAAGATCATATTCATACTGATGCCAGATATAGCAAAATAAAGATATATTCATTTTTGATTAGAGCTCTGAGTTTACATTAGTGTCTAGTTTTATGATGAATTCGATTGGCCAATAATCGCTAGTCAAAATGCAGTTCAAATCATAGCGATTGCAATTGGAAATGTAAATCATTTGAGTACCAGTTCATCATAATTCGGTGACATCGGACTCATTTCAATTCAGTGAACAATTAATTGCCTTTATTTGAATGACAAGAGTTTTTTTATATTTACGAAATAATTTATATAAATTATACTGAAATCACCAAATAGTAATAATAATAGTAATAAACAACATTTGACTAGTGTTATTGATTTCAGTTACGTAACACAGTAATAATTAACTACATGTTTTTAGTCAAAGTGCATATATATATATATCCTAGATTGATGTTTTGATAGGAAAAAAATTGTTTTGAATTGTATTCACTAACAAACACATTGGAATTATCTGTTATAACAAAATTTGTTATGGCTTGATGCATGCATGGAAGAAGGTAAAAATAACTTATGAATATTTATTTATATATCAAAAGTAAATCAACAATAGATTTTATCAACTTTTAAGTTTTGAATAAATTAAGCTGAGAAGCAATTTATACTGATGCATCACTAGCTTAGTGTGTGAATCATATATTTACATTACGGGGTTGTGAAGATTGTTAAGTTACACATTTTTGAAACCATGAATCGATCAATGTTAGACCACCATACCAGGAAGAAACGGCCGTCCAGTGCTTCCAGGTTTCTAATGGTGGTCTAACATTGATCGATTCATGGTTTCAAAAATGTGTAAATTATATATTTGCAATTTGTTATCTGTCCTCTTTACAATCAATCTCTCATCCTCTGTATGCATCATCCTTACCTCTGCTGAAACCTCAGAATGGACAAAGGAAAAACTTCAAACATCATACCCACCGAATAACGAACAGCAAATTACTTACTAACCAGTAAACTAGGACGAAAATATCTTGTATTCATTTTAGTGTCAAGTTTTGGTGAGTAGGATATATAACAATAATAATAATAAGCATTAATAGGAAGGTTCAGATAACTAATACAGATGAATTAATCTTCACCTCATTGTACAAGCGAGTAGCTAGCTATTTGGACTCAGTAGCTACGTGAATAACATGATAGCGTTTGAAGCATAAGGTACTAGGCATTCAATTGCTAGCCACCTCTACTAATAATGCTCGTAACCCTGAAGGCAATTCTCACAGGATTCTTATATACCAAATAGACTGATCATCATCAATGGGAACATTCAAGCAACCAATACAAATGAACAATAATCATGGTTTGTAGTTTTCTATAGCAAGCAGATAAGAGTTGATTTGCCGCAAAAACTTCTATTGATTATTCAGTTTTGAAGAATATCTTTCATTTATCATATCAAGTAAATGAATAAGAATTTTAAATCAATCATCTGTTATATGAAAAAAGTGATTTCACTCTATCTTATTGTATAATTCATTCTGATTTATTTTAACTAGTCATGAGGATAATTGATTAATTCGTCGTTCAGCCTGAAACACAATATATATATATATAACCAGCATATGAGTTGAATATTAGAGAAAAACTATATTTCAATGAATTCCGATTTCATAAAATCAATATATATATAATCCTATTACTCATATAGGTGTTATTTAGTACATTTGTCAAAAGTTTGTATAAATTATTCATAACTTTTTAATAGTACATTGAACTGAATACAAAGTACTAACAACAATAACATGATCATAGATAAAAATCTAAAAGAACAATTTTTAAAACATTGAAAATATGAACTTTGAAGTCTGGTGTAAATAGTTTTTCATGAATAAGAAAAACAACTTGATTTGTATATAAATCTGTTGAAAAAAAAATTTCACAATGTTATTACTTCCCAACATCTAATTACTATGATGATAAAAAATACTTAAACTTTTGTAGTCGATGTGAAAAATGATTGAGTTTCATCTGAATGTCAGTTCAATATTTGAAATCATATAACGCTAATCTTGTAACATGGTTATTCAAGGTATTTAAAGATAGTACAGCAATAAATGTATACAAATCGTCCTACTAAATGAACAACATTTATTTAATC